TGAGCCGGTGAGATTTGAACAGCCGAACTGCAGAACTGCAGTCAGCTGAAGTAGCCTGCAGTGCTGCATTTAACCACTGCGCCACCTCGGTTTTATTAATATAAAATTAATAAAAGAGGAAACTAAAGTATTAATAAAAATATGAGGACAACAGGAACTGATTAGAAAGATCATTCTCTAATATTTAAATTGCCTAATATTGAAAATACTCATCGATATATTAGCTTTATAAAGGCTTTTATCCTTCCTGAAAGCTTTTCACAGCTATCAATTATTCTGGATTAAATTCCTACAGCTAAAACCAAGAAAACAGAAGGATTTTCTTCCAATGTGCAAAGTCCACAGGGAAGCCAGATTCACTTAACAACCGGGTTACTAAGGGAACAACTGCAGTGATTCGCTTAACAATGACGGCAAGACAGGTTGTAAAATGGGGCCCAAACTCACTCCTCTCACTTAGCAACCAAAATTTGGGGCTCAATTGTGGTCGTAAGTCAAGGACTGCCTGCAAAGAAACGGTTGTAAGTCGAGATCTATCTATAACGTGCAGAGTTCCAGAATTATTATTTTTTCCTGGAAAAGCAACAGTCAAAAAAATGTTTGGGTTAGTGTGATGTGCATTAAAAAAACAAGCAAAGGTGTTTTTTGTGGTTATTTTGACTTTTTTTAAATGTAATTTTAAAACCATGGCGTGCACACACTCCGTTAAATGGCATAATGCTGACTATATATTTAGCTTTGCATGCATTTGCAAGGCTTGTATTTGCACAATATTGGAAAAATGAGAACGCTCCATTAGATGCGGATGTAATTCGGAAAATATTCACCTGGGCAGAGATGGATAGATTGACGTTAAAAATAAAGGTCAAAGAAAGCACAGGATATGACTTAACATGGAACAGACTTTACCAGTGGTTAGAGATAAGAGGTAGAAATTAGATGAAAAAAGACTATTGCTATGGATGAATTAAGTGGGAAGGTGGTTTATAATTATAAACATGCTAATATAATCAGCAGAATTACAAATAAGCTAATATAAAAGAGAAACCTAGTTAAGATTATTCCATGACACAATTATTATCGTGATATATGTCTATGTGTTAATATTTCGGATAGAATGTTTTGCATAGAATCTTTTTAGTATCTGTGTTTAATATTGCTTTCGGTTCTTCGGTTGCTTTCTTGTAAATGGTAAATATGTTTTATTTTCATTTCATTTCGTAGAATCACATATATACTGTGCATAACTGGGGCATATAACATTGAACAATAAACACAGCCCGCCCTCTTGTCAACAATACCCCCCAAAATACAAACCCAATACACCACTTCGACCTACCATACACCACTTCGACCCACCATACACCCTTTCTTTCACC